TATTTGGAGGAGGCTTTGTTTTGGAAGGTTTGTATTTTATTGATGTTGGATGATTTGATTTTCTAAGTAAGATTTAAATAATAGGTAAAAATATGGAGTAAGAAAATATTTCAGTTTGAAGAGGAGACCATAGTGCATGTGTCATGTCTAAAAATGCAACCATACATACTAGCTTATTCTCTAGTTTATGGGACATTTTGTCAAATATGCGGTGTACTTGGAGAATTGTTGAATGGTTATGACGAATACCAAATTGTGTTTTGGTAGGTTAGAGTCGATGGCAGAGAGAGTACGTTGTAAAATAATATTTTCAAAAATCTTGGAGAATAAGGGAAGTAAACTGGTGATTCAGGGGGTTTACCTGGCTTGAGGGCCATAGTGATCACTGAAAATTTCCATAGTATCGGGCAGAATTTAATCATAGATTAATATATGTAAGTCAAGAGTAATAGAGGTTTTTTGGTAGTTTAGTTGCCACTTCAAATCTAATTGGATCGTAGCCTGGGATTTTCCTTTCAGCAGATTTTCGTATTGCGTGTTCAACTTCACTTGGTAGTATGTATTTGGGTGGTATGATCACAATTAAAGAGCAGGGTGAAAACAGTTTACCATTTCCATTTGAGTAGGAAATGTGGTGTACACTCTCTATATAAACCTCGTTGTTATCAGTTGCTGACCGGCATTCGACAAGACCGGGTGGTGTTGTGTGTTCTTATATTAAAATGTTATTGTTTTAAGAACTTGTGTATTTAATTTATTATAATTTAAGAGTAAAAGGATCTACAACAGGAAATAGGATATTATAGTGTAGTTGGAAGTTAGAAGTTAAATGGTGAGAATACAAGTTTTCTTTTCCTAAATCATTGATGGCTTAAGTACCGTCAATTTTTTTCAGAGGAATACAAGCGGTTGCGATCGAAGGATTTTCCTTGTAGTTTGGCAAAGTGAATTATCAGTTGCTGATAAGGAAATGAAGTGTCTAGTGAAGTTATTAGATCTGACTGTGGCTTAAAACTTAAGCCCTTTTAAGTTTGTTATTAGATTGTTAAATTTTCGTTTATCAGAAGGATATTTGGTTCTTTGCCAGGTGTCACGGTCGCTTTGTTTTTCGTAGATAAGGATTCTAACATGTAAAGGAAAATTTCTAATGTGATTTGTAGGAGGGGTAATGGTGAAACAAGACCAAGCTGTTAATTGAATAGATTTAGTTAGATGATTTACAGCTTCATCTATCTAATCAGAGAATTTTAAGCTAAGTTTAAGATTGGTTTGGTTTTCAATGGTTAATCTGAACTTGACCCAATCCATTCAGCCTTGAATGAGAGTGGGTTGTATTGGTTTATAGTAATGCCAAGATGAAAAAAAAAATGAGTGATGATTTATGTAAAATACTAGTAATTGATGAGAAATAAGGTATTTATGTAAAATATTAATAATTGATGAGAAATAAAGTAAAATATATGTTGTAAATAAAAAAAGTTTTACTCCTAATTTGATCTTATTGATAAGTCATTAATAATTTTTTTTGTTTTATAGATATTTTTTATATTTTAATAACACCTGTACAGTTCTTTAGCAAATATTAGTAAATATATAGTTTTTTTTATAACCTGATCGATTTTCTTATTTTTAAGATAATTAAAAGTATTATAGAAAAAAAAATTTTTTTTTTACTGAAACAAATAATCTTAAACTTTTAAATGTATTTTTCTGATACACTCAATATAATTATTTGTTCAGCTAAAACTTATTTTGTAGTTCAAATATGATATATATTTTTTTTAACTATGAAAACTTAATCATTAACTTCTAGGTATGGAAAGCAGGTCGAGTATGTGTTATAAAAAAAAACGTTTTTTATTATTAGTGATAAATACAAAAAATATACTTTAAGCATAGTCTAAGAGGGCAATAATCTTATTACATAATAGAACAAGGTTTTTATTTATAAAATAATAATTATATCAAAAGTTTTAAACATTGTTAATTTGGTTCAAGTTGTCTGTATGTATTTTGTACACAAGTCGTAAACTATTCTAGTTTTTCAAACAAACAAAAAAAAAAAAAATATAGCAATTTTAAGTAAAAAAAAACCCAGCCCAGGGGAGTCGCGGCACAATGGTGCCGTGGTATAGTTGGATCAACTATAATGATATCTGATAGTGATTAAAATAACTATCAAAAATAAACGCTTCGATGCAAATCATACACTTTTCAATAAGTTATAGCATTATAAAGTTAAATATAATATAAAAAATAAAATCGAAAATTTTCACACAAAAATAGCATTCGATAGCCGTTTTCACCGTGAAGACAAGTACAGAGGTGATGTGTGTTTATGGGGGCGCCTCTTCCGGCGCCTCACTTATAATCTCCTCTGGCGCCTCACTTTTCAAAATTATTAGCGCCTTCCTTATCAAAATAAAAATTCAATTTGATAACAAATAATAGCGCCTCACAACCTCCCACTTCAAAAATGATTGTATTCTTCCCCCACTCCTGTTATTTAATATTAGTATAAAACACAATCGCTCGTGAAAATCAATCGTATTGTATCTTCGTTTTCTTACTCGTGTGTGTAATCAGTGAAGTATAACATCGTGATATTCAAGATGAGCATGATGAAAATGACAACTGGAGGAAAAGATATAAGAATGACTATTCGGAATCAACCTCAACCTGAGTTTTCTATACTAGCAACGTCGGTCTTCAATTTGAGTTTCGTCGAGCGAAAATTTCTACATATCGGTTGCACGTGGGTAATTGATCAATACGTTCCGATTATAATAATCATAACACCAAGTATGTACTTTTGAATGTCGGCAGACAATTTTATAAACTTTTTGAACATTATCGGCGAACTAATATCGTTCATGGACGATTCTTGTAAATCAAAAATATATTTGAGTACGGAGTTTAATATCGTCAAGTCAAAATGTTTCTCGAAAAATTATCTATCCATATCGGGTAGAGGTGTTGAACAACAGAAAACGGGTCGTGTATCGCTAACCGTAGAAAACCTAACCGTAGAAGCCCCCATAAACACACATCACAGAGGTCAAATTTTTTTTTTTTCAAATTAAAGTACATTACATTAGCTTTAATTTAAGATATATATAAAAGTGTCAGACCTTCCGGAACATTTTCAAAAGTTAAGTTGAAAAAGTTAATTTTTTGTGAAAAAGTTGTCATTTTAAATCCCCCCTATGGGCAGAAAAAAGGTCAAATTTACAAAAAAAATATACCATATGATAGGTAAAGACATCAAGCGTCTATAAAAAAAAAATCATATTGATATGTTCATTTTTGAAAAAGTTAAAGCATTATTAGGTTAAAAATATAAAAAAAAATTATTTTACAAAAATCGTAATTTTTTATTAACTTTGATGTCAACTTTCACCACGAAGACAAGTCCAGAGGTCAAATTTTTTTTTTTCAAATTAAAGTACATTACATTAGCTTTAATTTAAGATATATATAAAAGTGTCAGACCTTCCGGAACATTTTCAAAAGTTAAGTTGAAAAAGTTAATTTTTTGTGAAAAAGTTGTCATTTTAAATCCCCCCCTGTGGGCAGGTTAAGTGTCAGATTTACAAAAAAAATATACCAAATGATAGGTAAAGACATCAAGCATCTATATAAAAAAAAATTATATTGATATGTTCATTTTTGAAAAAGTTAAAGCATTATTAAGTTAAAAATATAAAAAAAAATTATTTTACAAAAATCGTAATTTTTTATTAACTTTGATGTCAACTTTCACCACGAAGACAAGTCCAGAGGTCAATTTTTTTCCCCATAATAGGGTACATTATGTACATACAAATCTTTAATATAAGATACATAAAAAAGTGTCAGACCTTCCGGAACACTTTAAAAAGTTAAGTTAAAAAAGTAAATTTTTTATGAAAAAGTTGTTATTTTAAATCCCCCCCTGGGGGCAGGTTAATTGTCAGATTTACAAAAATTATATGCTAAATGATAGGTAAAAACATCAAGCAACTATAAAAAAAAATAATTTAGTGATCCATACATTTTCCGAAAAGTTATAGCATTATTAAGTTAAAAATATAAAAAAAAATTACTTTACAAAAATCGTAATTTTTTATTAACTTTGATTTCTATTTTCACCTCGAAGATAAGTCCAGAGGTCAAATTTTTTTTTCATAATAAAGTAAATTTCATTAACTTTAATTTAAGATATATATAAAAGTGTCAGACCTTCCGGAACATTTTCAAAAGTTAAATTGAAAAAGTGAATTTTTTTTGAAAAACTTGTCATTTTAAATCCTCCTTTGTGGGCAGATAAAGGGTCAAATTTATAAAAAAAATATACCAAATGATAATTAAAGACATCATGCATCTATAAAAAATAATTATATTGATATGTTCATTTTTGAAAAAGTTACGGCAGTTTTTAGTAAAAAAAGTTAAAAAAATTTCGAAAATTAGCGATTTTTAAATTTGTAATTTTTTTGGAGGTTTCCCCCATTTACGGGGAACGAGGGAAATTTTTTCAATTTTGAAGGGTAATGTCTTCGACTAGATACGATTTGTGATCATTTGACGTATCGTTGAAAGAAATCTCTTCGGTGAGAGCTGAGAAAAATTGGTAACAGACAAAAACAAAAACACATCATAGTAAAACCAATACTTTCTCAGCTTCGCATCGAAGCTAAAATTAAGAAAATGATCTAATTACACAAATGACAGAATGTAAAGTAGTATTTATATAGATATTATCATATTTATACTTAGGAATAGTGCGATTCATAAATTTCTAGAGATAAAATTAAATAAACTCGCACTTCTTTTCAGTCATTATACTAAAGTGATAATAGCTTCCAAACTACTCGTTAAGAGATGTTAACGACATAACAAATTCAGCACAAACATTTTTATTGTTAAAGTTATATATTAACAAATATTTTTTAATTATAGATTACTTATACTCATTAGAACAAATGATTCAAGTCCAATTTTTTTAATAAATAACATATCTTACACTTTATATTCAAACAAATGCACGCTGTCAAAAATGTATTACATTCATTATTATTCAGAATTTTTTATATAAAAATTACATATTTTCATTTCTAGTATAAAAATATCAGGTTTTTTAACAATATAACAAATAAAAATATTTGAAATAATTTTTGTTATAAAATAGTTAATTTTAATTGTTTATTTTAGTTAATTTGTGATAATCTATTCATTTCAAATATACGTTTTGTAGCAATTTCTTTTAATTTGAACTTTTGTATTTTACCGGACCCTGTTTTTGGGAAAGTTTTTTCTGTAAATATATATTTTGGAACCTTAAAGTGTGAAATCTGTAAACAAAAAAATAAACATATTTATATTCATATATGCAAGCATTAAATTCATGTAAACATTAAGCTTATTATAATTTTAATTACAAAGTTAATCATAAATTACTTCAATAATTAAAAATAGAAAAATATTCAGAATAATTATTTTTGATGGGAAGCTAAAAGACAGTATTCAGTAGGAAGGAAAAAAGGATATAGGTGAATTTTTATAAACAACGAGAATAATAGAAACCTGTTTTCGATAGGTAAATTATGTCTTTTTAATTTTACCGTAATTTTTTAATTTAATAAATTTAATTTTTTGTGTCTGTCTCCACTTTTTCATAGCTCTCAATAGATTGCTTTTGTTCAACATGCATCATAAGGTCACACATTTTAACTAGTTAAATACATTACCCCTAATAATTGAAAAATGTTTCTTGTTTCCCTTAAAAGGAGAAAATTCCTCCGAAAATTACGATTTTTAAAATCGATAAATTTTAACATTTTTATAATAAATTTTTAAGTCGTATTTTTAAAAAATGATTAAATAAAAACGCATTTTTATTGTAAATAAGTTATGTATATTCTTTATTCGAAAATCTGACTCTTTACTTACCTACAAGGCAGAATTCAAAATAGCAACCTATGCACGAAAAATTAAATTTTTTTATTTAACTTTTAAAAATATTTCAGAAATACTCCATACTTCCAATATATGTTATATTAAGGCTTAGGTTACATATTATAAATGCTTTGACTTCGATGTGGACTGCATTAAAAATAATATAAAAAATTTAAATGAACAACGATAATTGTTTATATTTTGCATAAAGTTTCATTTTATTAAAATATAATAATTATATTATAATAGTAATTATTAATATTTAATATTATTATAATAGTGCGGTGACGATCTAACGAGAGACAATTGACAACTGACTAAAAATCCCAAATACAACAATACGTTTACAGCGCCTTATCAACAATATATAAATATATATATAATCCGAACATACCGCCCGCCTTGAAATATTACATTACAAATAAAAAATAATAATAATACAAATAAATTTAAATTGTAATGCCAACGAATACCTAATTTAGTTACAGCAGGCTGAATATCCCTTTCGAATTGTTCTGATTCAAACAGTTTTCTTAATTTCTGAAGTTTTCTATTTGCACCAACAAAATTAGTTGCATTGTCCGAAAATATTTGGAAGCATAGTCCTTTGCGACTAATGAAGCATTTTAAAGCGCCTAAAAAACATTCAGTGGTCAAATCGTTAGCTAGTTAAATGTGTACTGCTTTTGTGGCGAAGCATACAAATAGACAAATGTAACCCTTAGTCAAAGGAGTTTTGCGATTACTATTTGATTTAACCATTATTGGACCACTATAATCTATTCCACATATAGACAAAGCAAGAGTTGGACTTAAACTTTCTATCGGCAAGTTTCCCTTTATTGGCTGCTGCACAATTGGCTTATAACGGAAACAAATTATACAACTATGAACAAACTTTTTTGCTAAATTACGACCATCAATAATCCAATATTTATCACGTAATGACGACAAAATAGCTTACGGATCAGTATGAAGTAACTTAAGGTGTTCATAACGACATAGTAATAAAGCTAAATGACTGTTGTCTGGAACTAATAGAGGGTAACATTGAAATTCGGTTAAATGTTTTAAACGACCACCAATTTTAATTACATCACGACCGTTCAAAAATGGATTGAGATATTTTAATTTACATTTTAGAGAAACAAATTTATTATTCTGCAATTTTTTTATTTCTGCAGCCCAGTATTCGTTCTGAGCTATGAATACTAATGAAATTTATGCATTATTTAATTCATCATTCGTTAAAGGACTACTTATGTTGGGGGTATTTTTTACTCGACTCAGTCAATTATTTTTAAAACGTAAACACCAGAAACAATTATTTTTAATTAAAAGTACAATGAATAATTTTCTAAAAGATTTAACTTTAATTGAATGCTTAACAAAATTTGAGAATCTTGTTTTGTTTCTACCATTTCTTCTGGATTAATTGAATACTTCCCTGACATAGTTGGCCATTGATCACTACTTAGTAAAAGCCACTGTGGACCCGTCCACCATAAAGTTTTTTTTTGAATTTCACGCGGGGAACAACCTCTCGATAATTATGTCAGCAGGATTATCACCCGTACTTATATGACGCCATTCCAAAATATCTGTTAGAGTTTGAATTTTCCCTACGCGATGAACCACAAAAGTCTTCCACTTGGTTGATGGAGATGTAACCCAAGCTAACGTAATAGACGAATCTGTCCAAAAATATTTACGCGAAACTCTTATGTTTAATTTTGGTACAATTTAATGTGCCAAACGAGCTAACAATAAGACCGCACAAAGTTCTAGTCTGTGCACCAAAATAGTTTTCAAAGGAGCTACTTTAGATTTAGTGCATATTAACATAACCTTTGCTTAATTTTTATCGTTAATGTACTTAAAATATAAACATGCTCCATCGGCTAACGTTGGCGAATCAACAAAACCATGTATTTAATTACAAATAATTTTGTCATCAACAAATATATATCGTAGTACAACTAATTGATTTAAATATAGTAATTCATTTAAATAATCGCGCCATCTAGTTTGTACTTCGTTAGGAAGTTCTTCGTCCCAATTAATTTTCATTGTCCATAAATAATGCATTTGTAATTTATATAATATTATAACGAGTCCAATAAGACCTAATGGATCATAAATAGAAGCTATTTGTGATAAAATTTTGCGTTAAGTATGATATTGAACATTCTGATCAATATTACTTACAATGTATTGATAAATGTCAGCCACAGTATTCCATAAAAATCTTAGTATTTTGGTTATATTATTTTCTAAATCTAAAGTTAACATATAAATTTGATTATTACCTGCTATGTCTTTAACAAGATCAGAATCATTGTAAATCCACATATGTAAATCGAAACCACATATACGCGTTATATCTATTAATTGATAACGTAATAGTAGTGCATATTTTTTTGTAGAAGCACCATCTAAAAAATCATCTATGCAAAAATCTTCTTTAATGACTTTATAAGCTAAAGAATAATCAGCAGCCTCGTTGTCGGCTAATTGATAAAAGACAGCCTGTTGATAAATATGAAGCTGGTGTTGTGTCATAGGTGACTGTTTTTGATTGATACATCATTATTGGCTGGTCGGTTTCATCACGCCAAAATATTTTTTGAAAACATCTAGACTCTAGTCTATCGATTAGTATATGTCTGTACATTTTGGTTATATTCGAAGATAGGGTGTATGCATGGGTCCGAAAACGCGCCATAATGCATACTAATTCTTGCTGAATGCTTGGACTTTTATATAGTATTTCGTTCAAACTTTTGCCACTACTAGTTTTGCATGAACTATCAAAAACAACTCGCAATTTAGTGGTGACGCTGTCTTCCTTTTCGACCTCATGATGCGGAAATACGTATTCATCCTTATTATCGTTGTCCGAGTCTATAATTAATTCCATATGATTGTTATATATTAGTGGCTGTACTGTTAAGCAGCTAGCGTCTTTGTCCCCTCTTTGATTAAGATGTAATAATGATGTAAAAAGTAGACGCTCTTATGATTTTTTAAAATAAAGATTTTTACTGTAAAACATAATTTGTTCTCTTTTTTTAAAATATGTATTATTAAAATACATAACATGGCGCAGTCGAGAGGATTGATAGTACCAGCCCCAGGACCGCTGGAGTTACACGGTAATTTAATGGAAAATTTAAAAAATTTTAAAAGAAAGTATGAACTATACATATCAGCTAATGACTTGGAAAATAAGTCAAATAAAATTAAAACTGCAATATTACATTCTTTTATTGGGGATGATGCTAATGAGCTGATTGATAAGTTTGAGCTGACTGATAAGCCATATTGTACTATATTAAGTGGCTTAGAACAATATTTAGAACCCAAAAAAAATTTAATAATAGAACAATTCAAGTTTTTTCAAAGAAATCAGCAAGAAGGTGAATCATTTGATCATTTCTTAATTGATCTAAGAAAGCAATCTAAAAAATGTGAATTTGGTGAATTGAACAATAATCTTTTAAGAGTGAGGATAGTTCTTGGTATTAATGACAAGAGACTTCAGGAACGGTTATTAAGAGAACCAAAATTGACTTTAGAACAGACTGTTGAGTGTTGTAGAGCTGCTGAAGCTGCTAAACAGAACCAGTCAGTAGTAATGTCAAAGGGTGATTCTAATTATTTGTCAAGTAATCCAATGGTTGATGCTGTTATTTATAATACTAAAACAGAACATTCTAAAGATTTCAACAAGTTTGATGATAAGTCAAATGGGTTACAAAGTGGTGGTCAGTCCAGTCAATCAATGAAATATAAAAATCATGACATAAATGTTTTAATGTATGATTGTAAGAAATGTGGTCGACATCATGGTCCTAGGAGTTGTCCAGCCTTCAATCAAAAATGTAAGATATGTTTAAAATTTGGTCATTTTGCTGTAGGATGTAAGTCAAGAATTGTTAAAGATAAGAGTAATTTAAGTAATAATGTAAATAATAATAGACAGGTTAGGGCTATTACTAATGAAAATAATAATAGTAGTGACCAATTATTTTTTATTAATAAAGTTAATATATGTCAGAGTTTGGTTAAAGAATCTTGGTCAGAAAATATAATTGTTGATAATAATGTTATTAAGTTTAAGCTTGATACAGGTTCTGATATAAATATTTTACCTTTGAGTATTTTAAAAAAGTTAAATAAGAATTATAATATGATAAAATATGAGGTGAAAATACAAACTTATGGAGGCTTTATTATTGAAGCAGTTGGCGAGATAACGTTAGAATGTATGGTTAATAATAAAAATTGTGTATTAAAATTTGTTGTTATTAATGATTTAGAGCTTGAGTGTAAAGTTGAACCATTATTAGGGTTAAGTGACTGTATGGAATTAGATTTAATTAAAAGAGTAAGTGACGTTCAGTTAAAAGAAAAATATTTAGACAAAGAGCAATTTATAAAAGAAAATGAGAGTGTGTTTCAGGGCTTGGGTAAGTTTGGTGAGGAATATACTATTAGGTTAATGCCAGATTACCAATGTACAATTAAGCCACCACGTAGAGTACCTCAATCTATTCTTAAAAAGTTAGAAGATACTCTGAAATCATTGTGTGATAAGGGAATAATCAAACCAGTTGAATATCCTAAGTCATTTGCCAGTAATATTGTTATTGTAGAAAAAGCGAATGGTAATTTAAGAATATGTTTGGATCCAACTGATTTAAATAAGTATATTAAAAGAGATTATTTTTTAATTCCTACAGTAGATGAAATAAGAGCAAAATTGGTAAATAAAACAATTTTTACAGTTATAGATCTTAGAGAAAGTTTTTATCAGATACCGCTAAGTGAGGAGTCAAGTGAATTGTGTACTTTTAGCTCACCTTATGGGTATTATGCATTTAAAAGATTATCTTTTGGAATATCATGCGCCCCAGAAGTATTTTTTAAGACTTTAACAAAATATTTTGGACATATTAAAAATGTAATTATATATATAGATGATATATTAATAGTTGGTAGTAATGAAAAAGAACATGATGAGGCGCTAGAAGAAGTAATAAACAAAGCAAAAGAATTGAATGTTAAGTTTAATCCAGAAAAAGTACAGTATAGACAAAAGGAAATAAAGTATTTAGGAATGAAATTTAATAATGAGGGAGTTAAGCCAGATGAAAGTCAAATAGAAGCTATAAAAAATTTAAAGGAGCCAAAAAATAAAATAGAGTTGCAACGCATACTAGGTATGTGTAATTATCTAAGAGAATTCATACCAAACATGTCTAAAGTAACATCAACTTTAAGGGAGTTGTTAAAAAAAAATATAATATGGTTGTGGACTCAACATCATTCTAATGCATTAAATGAGTTAAAGACACTAATTACTAATTTACCAGTTTTATCAAATTTTAATCCTAATCTCCCTATTATTATACAAACAGATACTTCAAGTACTGGGGTAGGTTGTTGTTTATTACAACAAAATAAACCAGTTGCATTTGCTTCAAAAAGTCTTAATGATACGGAAAAAAATTATCCTCAAATAGAAAAGGAAATGTTAGGCATAGTTTTTGCTTGTAGAAAGTTTCACAATTTTATTTATGGTTATAAAGTAATTATACAGACAGATCATTATCTGTCTATCATTAAATTCTCTATCATAGAATACAAAAAATGAGACTTAAGTTAATGTTGTATGATTTAGAATTGACTTATTTGCCTGGTAAATATATGTATATAGCAGACTTGTTATCTAGAAATCATAGTAGCGAGACATATAATGAGATTGACATAAAAGGAACTATACATTTTGTTAATAGTGAAAATAGTTTAACTAAAAGTGAGTTATGTGAGGAAACAGCAAAAGACTCAGTTTTAAAACAAGTACTTGAACTTAGTAAAGAGTGGCCTAATAGTAAGGAGCATGTGCCTGTAGAAATAAGGCACTATTGGAATTTAAGAAATGACATATTGAGTGATTCAGGTATAATATTTTATAAAGAACGTATAGTGGTTCCTTCTGTCTTAAGAGGGAAAGTGTTAAAGGCACTACACATTGATCATAAAGGTATAGTAAAATCTAAATTAAGAGCCAAAGAAATATTTTATTGGCCAGCCATGTCGAATGAAATTGAAAATTTTATAGTAAAATGTAAGACATGTGAAAAATATAGAGTATCTAATATAAAAGAGCCATTAATAGGTCAAAATATACCTGATTTACCATTTGAACAAGTAGGGGTAGATATTTTAACTTTTGGAGGAAATGATTATCTTGCTTTAATGGACTATTATTCCAAATGGATAGAGATTAAACAATTAAAAAATAAAACTGCTTTGCATATTATTAATATTTTAAAAATTATTTTTTCAACTCATGGAATTCCTCAAGTGATAATATGTGATAATGTACCATTTGGATCTTTTGAGTTTAGACAGTTTGCAAAACTTAACAATATAGAAATGCGCTACAGTAGTCCGCATTACCCTAGAAGTAATGGGCTAGCTGAAAGAACTGTACAAATAGGTAAAATGTTACTTAAGAAAATGGATAAATCTAGTCTTGAGAATCAATTATTAGAATATAGGGTAACACCAATACCGTCAATAGGTTTAGCACCTTGTCAACTACTAATGGGTAGATTATTAAAGACTGCATTACCAATTCATACAAATAAATTAGTTCCTAAAGTGCCAAGTGATATCTATGATAAATTATGTGAAAATAAATTGAAGTATAAAATGTATTATGATAGAAATACTAAAGAAAGAGATAGTTTTGTGATAGGACAAAAAGTATCAATGCAAAAAGGCAAAGAGTGGGTGAAAGGAGTTATAGTAAAAGAAGCTGGACCCAGATCTTATATTATAAGAGATGATAGAGGTAGTCAGTATAGGAGAAATTCCTTTCACTTAAGAAAATCTGAACCTGAGGATAAAATAGAGGAAAGTACTAGTGTAGAAACAGAAAACAAAAAGCAGAAGGAAAGGAGGAATAGACCAAATAGAATAATAAGATTACCAGCTAGATACAAAGTTTGAGTTGTATTTATGTAGGATTATTATTTTATTGTTTATATTTTTTTATTTATGTATATTAAATATGTTCTTTATTTAATGTTTTTTAATTGAAAAAAAAATAATATTAAATTTGAATTAATGTTTTTCTTTGTTGATGTTTTTGTAATATATTTAAAAAAAAATTGTTAAGAGAAGGATGTTATATATTAGTGGCTGCACTGTTAAGCAGCTAGCGTCTTTGTCCCCTCTTTGATTAAGATGTAATAATGATGTAAAAAGTAGACGCTCTTATGATTTTTTAAAATAAAGATTTTTACTGTAAAACATAATTTGTTCTCTTTTTTAAAATATGTATTATTAAAATACATAACAATGATCTAATATTAAATACTCACGCATAAATTTCACGTATTATTCTTTAAATTGTAAATTATATTTATAACGATGTTTTAATGTTCTATATTACTGGAGTAATTGGATAAGCGCGACGATATCTTTACTGCCACTGAATTACTAGCGGTGTGTGTGGACAATTGAATATCAGTAATAGCACAATTGACTCTGCGTCTATTTAAATTTAATGTTTGGGCCATGCTATTAGTAATAAAATTGCTTTGTGAGCCGGTGTCAAGTAGCGTGTGGCAGATAACTGGTTTGCCATTACGATTATATGCTATAAGTATGGCTGTAGATAATAATGCCTGTTCGCTTTTTTTTCTGAATACATTTGCGCTCATTGATGTAAATTGTTGTTCGCCATTATTGATATGACACTCAATATTATTCTCGTTATTATTTTTTAAATTATTTAAATGCAACAAGAAATTATGCGGTTTGTCACATTTAATGCATTTTCGAAACAAACACTTACTACTAGGATGCTGTCGTAAACAATTTTTACACAAATTTAAATAATTTACTTTGCGTTCATTAATCGAAAGTGATAAAAAACTAGGACATTTGTAAATTGTATGATCGGATTTACACAAAAAACATTTAATAACATTATTGTTTGTAATCATTGCTGTGGTACGAATTTGCTCTCTTTTAAAGACTCTATCTTTCTTAAATGAATTAAAATTGTTTTGTTGAACATTTATCAATGAAGAAGATTCTACCGCTTCCATGCTGTGCCGAGATCCCACTGTTCTCCCTTTTTTCAATAAATATCTGAATTTTACCTTTTATTTTGTATATTTTTAAAAAATTTGACCCTTTATTAACCATAATAACGATTTAAATTATCGACTTTTTCTTAAAGTTTTAATTTTTCAACTTCTTTTAAACTAAATTAATTTAGTGAACAAGTTGTCATTTTAAATCCCTCCACTATAAGCAGATAAATGATCAGATTTATAAAAAAATATACCAAATGATAATTAAAGACATCATGCATCTATAAAAAATAATTATATAAATTTGATCATTTTTGAAAAAGTTATAGCAGTTTTAAGTAAAAAAATTTAAAAACTTTTGAAAATTAGCGACTTTTAAATTTGTAATTTTTTTGGAGATTTCTCCATTTACGGGAAATAAGGTAAATTTGTACAACTTTTGAGGGTAATGTCTTAGATTAGGTACGATTTGTGAACTTTTGACGTATCGTTGAAAGAAATCGGTTCGGCGAGAGCTAAGAAAAAGTGGTAACAGGCACAAAAAAAATAAATAAATAAATAAACCACATAATAGTATAATTAATACCTTTTCAGCATCGCATGAAAGCTAAAAAAATAACCAAAAACATATAGGTTAAAATTTAATTCAACAATACAATAATAAATGAAATCATAGGAGAAACTAGACACGGAATATTTCAAAGTATTAGTATGTTATAGAATACTATAAGATATTCTATACGAAAAATATTCCTGAATATTTCAATTGTAGCATCACTTTAAATGTTGTGAGTTACAGAGAAATGTTTACAAAGACTTTTATTTAAATTATTTATTATGATAAAAAAATATAGTTATTTTAACAAAATGTTGAATTTTCCTCATTAATTTACTGTTAATCGTAATTATATAAGTTCCTAATCACATATCAATCTGTAAAATACAGTTTTTTATTCCTCCTAAAATTTTCCATTTAATAATATAAATTCTAAAATTGCAGGTTGAGCTATAGTAGTGTTTAAAATTTCAACATTCTGAAATTATCAACTTTCATAAAAATAAACTTTGAACGATAAAAAAAACAAGTTAAAAGGAACATTTTGAATTAAAATTTTGCACGGATTCTTGTTAAAAATTAATAATAATATGAAAAAAAATATTTTAAAAAAATATTTTCATGTATAAATACTTGCTTTCTAATTAGTAATAAATTCAAAAAGGAGGTAATAGCAAAAATTAAATTTCAGACTTGATAGCAAACGACCGGAATCGGAAACTGGATTTCGTTTGGGAACTAAGAACAGTAGAACACTGAACGAACCAGGATTTTTTCAATATGTCATGGACGCGAAAAACTTGTATAAATTGGACATTTTGGCCCCGCAGGACACACGATGGCCTGACAGCGGAAATATGAAGAAAGACAATACGACACTATTTTATAGTGGAACTGACAGTGGAAAACATGAGAATGGAGTGAGATTTATTGTTAATGAGAAAGTGCTGTATAACATAAAAACTTTCTTGCCTATGGACGATTGAATATGCTACATTAAGATAGCCGGGGGACTATTTGATCTGGTTATAATAAATTAATACGCTCCTACGGAGGAAAAATATGACAAAACTAAGGACAAGTTCTATTATGACCTAGAGAGAGTGGTGAACAGCATACCCACATACTGTATAAAAATGATAGTAGGTGATCTGAATACTAAAGTGGGCAAAGAGACTGTGTACATGCATACAATTGGACCGGACAGTTTACATGAGACAATCAATGATAATGGGACTAGGCTAATACACTTTGCTACGTTAAAAGAGCTTACAATAAGTAGTATGTTCTTCCCAAGAAAGGATATATAAAAATCCAAATGGATATCACCAAATTGTCGAGTACATAATCAGATCAGTTATATAATGATAAGCAAAAGTCACGCCAGTTGTATCAAAAAGATGAGAACTTACAAAGAAGCGGATACCAACTCGGACAATTACTTATTATTTACACAATTCAATCTCAAGTTGTCTACAAAATGGAATATGGTGAAAAATATAGAACATACAGAGATTAGCTGATCCTGAAGGGCTAGAAAGATTTGTTGGAAAAGTGCATGGCAATATAAAAGGTAATAATCCACCAGGAAGAGAAAATAAAGCATATACATATCAATAGTGCATCAATAGTGCAAGTGAAACTTTGGGTACGGAAAAAAAGAATAAGGCAAAAGAGCTGGTTCAATACTGTCAAACTATTGTTTGACAGTAGAACATCAATAGTATTAATGTGTATATTATAAGCATTAATATCAGATATGGCTGGGTTTTTTCACAAATGCATCATTACTGTTATAATTAAAAATAATCTGTTAATTTTTATAATTTTTAAAATTAATTATTTTAGGACTATTTACAATGTACACACCGGATAAAAATATAAAAAGTTTAATTCTGAGTTAAATAAATAGTTTTTATAATACCGGTGGTAGTGCAACCGGTATTATTGCTGCGACCGAGGCGGAAATAATCTGTTATAATACCCCATTATATTATTTATTACAGTAGTTATTAAAAACAATTATATACACCGATTATATACTTGAGAGATAACAATAATATATAGTCGCCATCAAAATAGGTTATTGCTGCCACCAATATTATAAAATCAAAGTAATAATGAATTTTTTATTTGATATCCAAATCTTTAAACAATTTTAAAAAGCCAGCGATTGATCGGATAAGAAAAATTGCAAGAACAAAATTGTTTGTAATTTTTTTTTCTATCATATTATGATTTTAAAAATACGAGTCCCCATTTAAGAAAATTATAAATAGGGATTCTTAATTTTGAATGGATGAAAAAAAATTTTAACTATATATTATTGTAGAGTTTTGTACGAACCCTTGAATTACTGTATAATTATATGTCTTGTTTTTACATGTATTAATAATTTTGTTATAAGAACACCAGAATATGAGTGTTGAGCACTATGAAATTCGATGGCTTAGTTCTTTCAGCTTAAGCCAGTCAGTCCAAACCGTGTTTCACCAGTAATGTAGTCCGAGTCCAGCAGAGCACTCGTCCAAGGATCTATCAGAACCTCATGAAATCGCACATTTAAATCTGTATTAATTATTTTAATTCATATTATTTTGTTTTGAGTCAATAAAATCAACTATCAAAACTTTTATTTACTCATTTTTATTATTGAAATGTTTATTTTAATCCTTTAACTGGTTCACCATGTACAGTTTATAAACCTAATATTTTTATAATATATTTTTAATTTGTAATTTAAAGTAATTATTTCTAGTCCAATATATTTCAAACCTAATGGTTTAACTATTAAATGACATAGGGTATACACAAAATTATTTTTCAAAGAAGTATTGATAGTGAGGTGAAATTACAAATTACGTCACTAAAACAAAGAAATATGGAACACGCCTTCACCACAAACTGATAATGCTCCCATATTTATATACTTTTCACAAGGCACTTATTGCTATGTATATTTGGTACTCCTAATATCTGATACCAGAGGTTAAATTCAAACCCAATTACAGTATTTTTTTTTTATATCATGGTATTTTAAAAGTGTACCGTAACCAGACATCTATATTACTTGCATTATTCGTACCATATTTTATAATATCAGAGTATTTAGATGTCAAAGCATTTTAAATTTATGGCAATCCCTGTAACTTCAGAAATATACCAATAATTAACATTGTATTCCTAGCTCATTTCTTAATAAATAGATCTCTTAGTACAAAGATACCAGTATTTAATAAGTCATTATAACCAAGAGTAGTTGAAGATTTTTTTTGATGATTTAAACCATTTAAACACCTCTGAACAATTACCTTTCCTTTTGCATATGACTTTATATCTGCTTGTTTGATTTCTACATTATTCAATGTTGTTATACTTGCACATATTTCTTCCCCCATTCGTTCATCAGGGATACTGTAAACCTAAAATATATTTTAAAGATTATATTATGTATTCAAGTTTGTAGTACGTAATGCTTTTATAATGGAACATTTGAAAAATTTTCCTTAATTTCAAAAATATCTAAAACGCTTAAGAAAAATACAAAACCTTAATAAAAAAAAGTAACCTGAGCTTGGGTGATAGACGGATGGGACTCCAAAAAATATTCAATTTCTTTTGGAAATATATTTTCTCCACCGCGAATTATCATGTCTTTTAATCTTCCAGTATAGTGTCCATATCCATTTTCATACAAAATAAATTGATCCCTGAAATTTTCAATTCACTATTCTTAAATAAAAATATTTAATATATTTAAATTACTGGATAGTACTTTAACACCCAATAAAAACTATCAAAGGCGTCCTTATAGATTTTTAAGGGGGGTAAATATTTTTTTTTTTCAATATTAGGTCTCACTTAGGGAAGTTAGTAAGAAAGATTCAGAAGCTTAACCTATTTCTAAAAGTTACAACTGTCGTATGCTACATGGCACAACAATACACATACATAGTTTGCAATTTCATCGTTCTACTATTAATTTTGTTCCTAAGTCTGTCTTTCGTGAATTTACTTATCCAATTTGATTTTCCAAAGACCTAAAGAAGATCTTATTTCAAAAGAAACAAGCTCACTTTATTTATAAATCATATCCTAGTGTAGATAATTATAAAATATTTTCATTTTTATGCGTTAAATTTAAATTTGAATCCAAAAAGCTTTATAGATTATATGTCAAAAAAATTGAATCATTGTTTAAAAATAACCCGATTCATTTATGGAAATTTGTAAATAATAGTAATCATTCAAGCAACATCTCAAAAGAATTATTCTATAATAGCGTAACTTCAACAAACGATCAAGAAACGGCCGAATTGTTCGCCTTCTACTTTTCTTCAGTATATTACTTCACTAATTTTGACATGGATACTGATCAATTGGGTTTAGAGACTTTTAATTTGCCAAATAACATTAACTTAAGTGTTGAGGACATTTGTCACAGTCTTAAAGCTTTGTGTGGGAGATTGGTCTGTCGGCCACGATAGACTCTGTGGTGAATTCATTTACCAGTTGAGACACTATATTTCTCACCCACTATGGCTCATTTTTAGAAGATCTTTAGATGATGAAGTTTTCCCATCAATCTTAAAATTCAGCTCCATCTCCCCTATCCCTAAAACTGGCTGTCCCTCAGTTATTTTAAGTTACAGACCAATTTCCATTCAATCACATATCTCCAAAATTTTTGAAAAAATTATCTTAAGAATACTACCAGCTACTAAGAATACTACTATAAGAATAAATAGAAGTTAATTTTGCTTTTGGAATAATCCAAATTTTTTTTTAAATTAAGCACTATGTACAGATATGCATCGAAGTGTTTTTATGTTAGTGATTTTAATCACTATCAGATATCATCTATCCCCAACAATGCCACGTCCATACTGTTCTACCGTTTTTAATTTTTAAATCTATTTGTGTGTTCCACTACTATATTATAATATTTCAATTTATTTGATTATATGTTACGGTATGATTCATTTTTTAAAAACGATTTTAAATGTATTGTAAATTTAACGTTAGATTTTTACATTTATAATTAATTTTTATAATACGATATATTGAGTAGATTATTTTAACAACTTGTTGGTTCTTTTTTTAGTTTTAATAAGAAACTAAAAAGTTATCTTCATGTAATTCTTTGACTTTTTTATGTCTGTCCATAATAATTCTTAGTTTTTTTGGACTAATTTTGATGACTAAACGTCAAATGAACCGATTTTAATCCAGTTGAACTAATAGTCATTAAATAATGAAAATATCCCTTAATTTTAGAAATTTAGACAAATATTAATATAAAACGGTAGCATAGTTGGATCGCTGCACAGGATAGATGATATCTAGCAGTGATTAAAAGCAGTATCATAAGAATTGCTCAGAAAATCTGTAGATAGTGTTAACAAAAGCAATATCAACTCCTATTTCTTTAATTATAACATGGTTAGTATTTTAGGTTTAAAAGTATAATATACGAATAATATTTTTTATAGCTATTAAATATAGTAAGAAAATAATATTGAATAATTTATTAATGAAATTTTTAAAGAGATTTTATAAAAAATTATACAGTAGTTATAAATGTATAGACAACGTACATAAATGGTATACAATGAATTTTCATCTGAATCAAAAATATGCTTTTATTGATTAATTTTTCACGCCGATTTCAAAACGGAAAATTTTCAAATTAAACTAAGAAATAATAATAAATGACAAAAAAGTATATTTTGTTACTTCTATGACAAATTTATATAAAAGTTAGAGGGCTTGACAAATCTTTTATAAAAATAATTTTTTGTTTACTTATGAAAAAACTGATAAACATTGGTCTACATGGAACTTTTAACGGAATCAAAAATTTACTTTTCAAAATAAACTTTTTGCACTGTTTTCAAATCTGAAATATGATTTTTTCTATATCTTCTGAATTTTGATATCATTTATAATTTTAAAAAATGAGTATCGACTGAAGATGTGAGTCACTATTATACATGTGTATTATACGATATTACACACGTGTATACAATTATTTTATACCAGCTGTATCAAAAAAAGAAACTCAGCACAGTGGGGTCGCGGCACAGTGGTGACGTGGCATAGTTGGATCAAGTATAATGATATCTGACAGTGATTAAAAACACTATCAAAATAAAACGTTTTAATGCAAATCTTTAGATAGTGTTTAATTTTAAAAAATTGGTGTATTATTCCAAAAGCTACATGATCTCCTAGTTCCATATTAATATCCTGATTAAGATAAAGTATGTCGAATGTAAAAGAGATTATTAAAAAATATTATTTTTCATAAAAAAATAATGTTGATCCATACACTTTTCAATATGTCATAGCATTATAAAGTTAAAAATGTAAAAAATAAAACGAGAATTTTCACACAATAATAGCATTCGGTAGCCATTTTCACCGTGAAGATAAAATAAAGTCCGAAATTTTTTTTTCGCAGAATAAAGTAAATTACATTAGCTTTAATTTAAGGTATTAACATAAGTGTTAGTATTTCCAGAACACTTTCAAAAGTTAAGTTAAAAAAGTTGTCATTTTAAATCCCCCCTGTGGGCAGATAAAGGGTCAGATTTACAAAATAAATATGCAAAATGATAGGTTAAGACATCTAGCATCTATAAATATAGATATATAAATTGATATGTTCATTTTTGAAAAAGTTACAGCACTTTTTAGTAAAAAAAATTTCGAAAATTTCGAAAATAAGTGATTTTTAAATTTGTAATTTTTTTGGAGGTTTCCCCCATTTACGGGGAACGAGGAAAATTTTTTCAATTTTTAAGGGTAATTATCAGGTACACAGCATTATTATTATCAATGATAGTAAGGTACATTGTTGTGAGTTTATAAATACACTAACTGACAATACAAAAAGTATATCTATTGATAGTCATAATTGATAATAAACAATCCGTAACTGTGATAGCAATATCATAAAAAACCAATTAGCTACCTGTATTTGTAATCCCTTGTATATTATACCTATATATTAACTCAAAAAGTTGAAACTTTAAATGTTTATATCTAATAAACAAATTAAGTTTTATTAAAAATTCAAATGCCATTTATTATTGAATTAAAAACTCAAACATTTTATTAAATTAAAAATATGTGTTTCCATTTAAAAAAACAAATTTGACACCCTTACCAGGCATAAGGGATGAACTTAAAAAGTATTACATAGTTAATAATTCAAGAATAATGTGTAACTAAAGATAATAATAAAAAAAAAATTTTTAATTATTATTATTCTGTATGTAATTGAGTGGGTTATGATAAAAAAATCACCCTGTATATATACACTTAAAAATGTATTAGATTGCATTGTGTTCTATTACTTGTTGAAGTGCCACAACTTGGCTGGATACAGTACTAGCACAACAATTTCATAGTCAAGATTCTAAGTAATTATAAGCGTTCTTTAATGTATCTCTTCACTTGTCGACTAGCCATTCTGATCTCAGCCACAGTGCGGGCAATCAAAGTGTAGAACACTAGTATAATCTATTGTGAAAAGAACCAAAATTGAGCTCGCATCTACCCTACGTCACTCTGTGGATGACTGAAAAGACGTAGGCTAAAGTATTTTTTTATATGACAGGGCAGTTATTAAGAATTTCTTTATTGGTTCTACAAGTAATTAAATTATAAATAGTTTAATATAAAATACCACATATAAGGTTAAAGAATATATCCTTTTCATGGAAATACGATATGGGGACGGCTGATATGAGCCTGATGATGTGGGAGATCGTGTCAAGTGGAAATTTAGAATAAGAGTGACGGACCCCAAGTAGTCGGGATTAAGGCGAGGAAGAAGAAAAAGAAGAAGATTGTTAAATAGATTCTCTAATTGAAATATTGAAAACTATATTTCGTATAGTTATATCCTATAGTTTTTAACGAATTAGTAATAATAACAAAATTAAGTAGTGACAGAAAAAATCTAATTGCAGATTTGAAATTGATGCGAAAAATGAATCAATAGAAGTATCTTTTTGATTCTGGTGAAAATTCATTGTATACCATTTATACACCTTATCTATAAAAGTAATGACTACTTAATATTTTTTAATAAATTCTCCGTAAAATTCACAATATTAGACTATTAAATATTAATTCATACTATATTTAATTGCTGTGATAAATATTTATACACATATTACACTTATAAATCATAAAACTTGTAATTAGGATATAAATAAGAAAATAGGATATCATGTTGCTTTTAAAATAATCCAACAATTTTTTTAAATTAAACTCTATCTACAGATTTGCATAGAAACATTTTATTATAATAGTGATTTTAACCACTGTAAGATTAAATCTATACTGGACTTAACTATGCCATGCCCATACTGTGTATGGACTTTCCTCGCTACCTCACTGTGCTACCGTTTTTAAAAATAATTTACCCTGTATGTAGCCATCTAGAAGAATCTATTATTTCCTTTGTTTTATCTTCTTGATTATAATAGCCAGTCATGTTTACATAACCTCGAATTAATAACTCTCCTGGAGTCCCAAAAGGTACAATTTCACTTTTTTTATTAATTACCTTAGCCTAAAATATAATTATTATAACAAATCATAATGGCTAAATGTACAAAAAAATATTGTAAGATATTAAATTAGTGATTATTATTTATTTACTTCAACATGATCTTGTATAATTCCCACAGTATTTAAAATTTTCTCTTCTGAATCATTTGAAAAGTTTTGAAAAGTACATGGACTAGTTTCAGTCATTCCAAATATTGACTAAAAAAAGTAATTAGTACATAAATAACATTAAAGAAATAGATAGAATTAACTAAACTGTTAATATGACTTTTGGAAAAAGTCTTTTGAATTTTTTCATCAAATCAGTTGAGCATGGAGCTCCTCCAGTAATAGCAAATTTTAAATTATTTTCTCTTTTATCAGTAGTCATTTTTTCAATAATTTCCATTATATCCACAAATAATGTTGGAGTTCCAAAAAAAATAGTTGATCTGTAAATATATAAAATGTTAATAAAAATGTGTTAAATGTGTAAAACATCACAAGTATAAATTGTTTCTTTATAAGATCTACTTAGCGACTAACAGACACCATTATAAAACAATCGCAATTAAAAACAATTAGATGTTATTTAAAAGTAATTTATTATTAAGTTCTATCATTTAATAAGGAAGCATAAATTATACAAAAATATAATATATAATCCACGATTTGTTAGCTAATAAAATTTTGTATACTAAACGTTTTTCATAAATAGATATTTTTGAATAATTTAAACTATCAAAAATCTATTTGAATAGTATTTATAATAATTTTTAATAAACGGTGGAATATTTCAATCAATATTCGAATAGTACTATCTAATAAATTATAAAGCTTTTTGATAAAACTTAAATTGTTTCATTAAATATGGAGTATTTTAATTATTTGAATAATTATTGAGTAACTTATCAAACATAAGATTATGTTCTATGCAATCCTACATTGTAATGTAATCAAGTCATTGCTTATTAAGTGTGTGTCACAAGAAGTTTTTAAAAAAAATTTTGATGACTTGTTTGTTGTTAAAGAAATGGTCAGATCCGTTTATTATTTATACACTACACTAGTAGTAATTATACATTCATATATTAAACGTACAATATATAAAGAGTAGAACAGATTTAACTGACAACTCTTATAACTATTGATAAATTTAAAATTTCGTTGTAATTTCTCTTTAACAATTTTTACATTCTCAGTGTTTTGTACGAGGCAGCTAAACCGTAGGACGGCTAGTTGTGCACCGCACTAGAATGCCGTTTTACCTTAAGCCTGTTTAAAAAACGTTATTATTGATGCGGGAGTGGGTCACCTAGGAGATGACGACTAACTATACATCCAATAAGTCAACGAGAGTAAGCAATAATTAAATAACAAATAATCACATATATTAAAAATTCCTCAGAGAGTATCTTAAATTTAAGGGGTAACGGGAGGGGGCCTTAAATATTAATGGCCGGCGAAGCGGCATAAAACAAAATAGTTAATTTCAATTAAAACAAACAATAAATAACATTAAAAAATTATATAAACTCAACTGAATAGATGAAGTTGTTGATAATGATGAGTGGACTGTATGAGATATTGTGGTAATGGTGTCGAACATCTGATTATGGCGAGTCAAAGTGTAGATCCAGGCACGTAATGGCAGATGAGAACCGACCACGAAAAAGCAACTACGGTAATGAAGATATTTAGTGATGGTCAGGGCCCAATCACTAGTGGCGTGCAAGGGCACGTAAACTTTGAGCACAAGGGTGCAATAAACAAGTAATAAAAAACTATGGTGTTTAACGGCCGGACAATTTACCATTCAAGCGAAGGCGATTGTTACAGAAAAGAGTGACACAAAAAACAATTGACTGACTGACTTATGACAATGAACTGTACACGGATGAAAATTGACACGGAGGTCATCGATTTGCCGTGATGGGTAGGCAAGGGGGTGAGTAAAGCAAGATATGATGGTGATCAGCTGTCCCACGAAATAATATAATCAATGATCTTTGTAACAACTGGTCAGCTAGATCCTTCTAAAGGCATTCTGTACCATACACATAGACTACGTTAAAAGCATATATATATATATATATATATATAATAATATAAAATAAAATAATATAAAGATTATTTTTCATTTTTTTAAAATTTCAAAATAGCCTACATTTAACATCTTTTCTTAAAAAAAAAGTAATGGGTTAATATAAACTTTAGGATAATTAATCAATTTATCACATTTTATTGTAAGAAAATATCTAAAAAATCTATTTTAAAATTTAAAAGAAATAATTTTTTTTATAAATAAAAATAAATAATAAAAAAAATGTTTATAACGTAGTCTATTAAAGCGAAAATGTCTAGAAATAAATTACCACAAAATAATTAGATCTTAAGTCATAAAGGTTTACTAAGATCAGTTCCATTCCTTCTATATTTCTACATAAAGAAATATTTTTAATTTAGTAAGTTTAATTATTATTATTGACGTATATTAATACGATAAATTAATTATTCATATATTCAAAATTTTTTTGTGTATAGGATTGTTTTTAAAGTTTTTTTTATTTTAGTCTCTTATTACAATATTTATTTAATGAACATTTTTTTAAACGAATAATTTTACCGTGAATTTACACTGTCAATGCGTATTTAAAGGTAATTTAATAAAGAAATAAAAATGTAGTTCATGAGATAAGCTTATCGTTGAAATTTCTGGGCATAAAAGACAAAACGTTTTATTTTTATTGATATTGAAAATAAAGTCCTTATAGAATCCTTTGGTTACATATTCTATTTTTAGTTGATAATAATGACACAAGTAATAAGGTAACATCTATACTACATAAAAAAACTGCATTTTTTACATAAATTCATTACTGCATTCATAGTTCAATAATTGTATTGGTCAATATACGAGACTGCGTCTCATCCATATAATAATAAGGAATGAAAATATCTTACTTATCGTTTAATAAAACATCAACTGTAGCTTTTGGTTCAAAGTGTGCAGATGGTAAATATACAGTGGATTCAGTTAATAAAGCTCCTAGTATACCAGCTGATAATGCAAATATATGAAAATATGGCATCGGACAGCAAAATTTATGTACTATATCCTAAATAATGGCATATATTTTAATATAAATAATATACTTTAGAATTTATTATTACTTTATCATTCAAAATTCCAAGTCTTTTCATAATAAAATAAGCATTATTCATAATACTAAAATGACTCAAAAGAGCAGCTTTTGGTTTACCTGTAGTACCCTAAAAAAAATATTGCTGTTACCTAATATTAATTCAATAAATTTAATATTTAAGAAAAAAATATTATAACATAAGAAATTACTGAAGTGAACTGTATTATGCAACCATCGTCCGGTTGCACATTGGGAACCTTATAATTTTTATTTACTCCTATATCAAAAAACGATTGCAAATTGTAAGCACCCCTAAAACACATAGCGATATTTCACATTAATCCTCTTATCGTTATAGTAAGTAGGAAAGACTTTGATAATTTTTATTTGATATTATATATTAGAAACTATTTTAATGTTTATGTCATTACTCTCTAAAACTAAAGACTTACAATGTTTTTTATAAATTAAAATATCTCAAAAAATATTTTTTAAGTCAAAATTGTTATTTTATTTTATTTATAACTAATTATTCATAGCACAGGCGTATTAAAAAACTATTTTACAATATAATTTATTCTCTTTAAAAAAAAAATAACCCAACACCGTGAGAGCTGAGAAAAAGTGATTACAAACACAAAAAAAAAAACATAAAAATTAATGCCTTCTCAGCTTCGCATCGAAACTAAAATCTAATACAATAAAGATTGATAACTTGTGGCTAATATTATTTTAAATTAATATTATATTAATTCTAAATAAAATACTAACTTCATATTATTTTCAGTATTGAAAACAATTGTTTCAAGTGTTGGCATTACTTTAGATTTTATAGGTATATTTGGTGGTCGATTCCATATTTCTGGATCTATGTTTTCAAAAATTGAAGCATAATTTTGACTTTTAAATTTTTCCATTGTAAAGAGACATTTAACCCCAACAAGTGTTATACTATGTTTTAATTCATCACTTTGAAAAGCAGGATTAATACTTACCTAAATATGTCAAAGATTAAATTATTTACATGTTAAAAATAATATATCTAAAAGATCGATTAACCTATAAGCTAAGTAAAAATAAAAAAAATTTTAAAGTTAAAAGTTAATATTGAACCATTATTATGCTTATTATACTTTGCACAACTTGATATGGTTTTTACAAATAGGATCTTTTATTGATGGTAAAATTAGTTGAGGAGATATAGAAGTATGAGTAATTAGGATTTAGGAAAAAGGGTACATAAACAGATGAAATATATTTCATAAAAATAAGTTAGTAGATTTAAGGGGATTTGTACCAAATTGTGCCATTATATGAGAAATTTGAGGTATGTATGAAGAAAAACATCACTTATAACGTTCATTCTAGAATGAACGTGCGAAGATAAAAGAGATAATCCTATGTGAGCAATTAACATGCAATGACATTATTTGAAAGGAAATTTATATTGGGTATGAAGTGAAGACTACACTGATCACTTGATCAATTTATACTAGGAAGATTATAATTTCCACATATGACAAACTGATACACCAAAAGAAAAAACGTCAATCAAATTTGATAGAGAAATTCTATCAAGGGTTTACGAAAATATTTTATTATTATTTTATGGTAATAGATCTACCACTCGGAGAATATATTGAATACATATGGAATGTCTAGACCATGATGCGCGTGCAGATTTGTACAACGCCTAACCATACATTAAAATAATCACGGGTTTCAAGCAAAAATTGTCGTGCTTGTTAGCTTCGATGCGAAGCTGAGAAGGTATTGGTTTTACTATGATGTGTTTTTTTTGTGTCTGTTACCACTTTTTCTCAGCTCTCACCGAACGGATTTCTTTCAACGATACGTCAAAAGATCACAAATCGTATCTAGTCGAAGACATTACCCTTCAAAATTGAAAAAATTTCCCTCGTTCCCCGTAAATGGGGGAAACCTCCAAAAAAATTACAAATTTAAAAATCGCTAATTTTCGAAATTTTTTCAATTTTTTTTACTAAAAACTGCCGTAACTTTTTCAAAAATGAACATATCAATATAATTTTTTTTTATATAGATGCTTGATGTCTTTACCTATCATTTGGTATATTTTTTTTGTAAATCTGACACTTAACCTGCCCACAGGGGGGGATTTAAAATGACAACTTTTTCACAAAAAATTAACTTTTTCAACTTAACTTTTGAAAATGTTCCGGAAGGTCTGACACTTTTATATATATCTTAAATTAAAGCTAATGTAATGTACTTTAATTTGAAAAAAAAAAATTTGACCTCTGGACTTGTCTTCATGGTGAAAACGGCTACCGAATGCTATTTTTGTGTGAAAATTCTCGATTTTATTATTTATATTATATTTAACTTTATAATACTATAACTTATTGAAAAGTTTATGGATCCACATTTTTTCATGAGAAGTAGTATTTATATACATCTTTCATTGGATATACTTANTTTATGAGAAATAATATTTTTTAATAAACCCTTTTTCATTCGACATACTTTATCTTAATCGAAATATTAATAAGAAACCAGCAGATCAAGTAGCTTTTGGAATAAAACACCAATTTTTTTTAAATTAAACACTATCTAAAGATTTGCATCGAAGCGTTTATTTTTGATAGTGATTTTAATCACTGTCAGATATCATTATACTTGATTCAACTATGCCATGTCACCACTGTGCCGCGACCCCCCTGTGCTGGGTTTTTTTTACTAAAAACTACCATAACTTTTTTAATCAATATAACTTAATATACCTTAGGTATTTACATATCATTTTATATATTTTTGTGAACATTTGACCCTTTACCAGCTCACAGGAATGGTTTCAAAATTGTAACTTTTTCACAAAAAGTTAACTTTTTCAACTTAACTTTTGAAAATGTTCCGGAAGGTCTGACACTTTTATATATACCTTAAATTAAAGCTAATGTAATGTACTTTTTTTTAAAAAAAAAAAAATTGACCTCTGGACTTGTCTTCATGGTAAAAATGGCTACTAAATGCTATTTTTGTGTGGAAATTCTCGATTTTATTTTTTACATTTTTAACTTATAATGTTATAACTTAAAAAAATTATAAATTTAAAAATCGCTAATTTTCGATATTTTTTCAATTTTTATTACTTAAAAGTGCCATAACTTTTTTAAAAATAACGGAATCAACATAATTCTTTTTTTTATAGATGTATGATGTCTTTACCTATCATTTGGTATATTTTTTTTTTATCTGACCCTTTACCTGCCTACAGGGGGAGATTTAAAATGACAACTTTTACACAAAAAATTAACTTTTTCAACTTAACTTTTGAAAATGTTCCGGAAGGTCTGACACTTTTATATATATCTTAAATTAAAGGTAATAAAATATACAAAGTGATTTTAATCACTGTCAGATATCATTATACTTGATCCAACTATGCCACGTCATCACTGTGTCGCGACCCCCCTGTGCTGGGTTTTTTTTTTTTTTTAATAGACAAATATTTTCCTGGTACATTTTCAAGGGATACACTCCGCGGAAAAATATCGGTCATTTACATTTTTTTTTAATGTCGAGTGCACATCTTGTCACCGTGTTATTAGTAACTACAACGTTTTTTTTTTTAATAAATATATAATTTTTATTATAAAGAGAAATAAAAATAATTTAAAATGATTTTTTTTATTTGCAAAAGTAATATTAATGAACTTTCTTCTTTGGTCACTAATTTCAAAGTCATTCATAATTTAACGTCATATAGTACCTACGAATGTATTGAAAATGAATGTTTTCAAACTTTTAGTAATTTATCCACATTAAAATGCATATTCTTAACAGTGTACTTCAAGGGGGGAACTTATCTCCTTTACTATTTTCTATATTTGTTAATAGTATACAGCAAACTCTAGAACACTCGTGTTCTCTGCTTTGCGGACGATATGAAAATATTAATGCAAAATCAATCTCTTAGTGACTGTATAAGGCTCCAAGCAGACCTAGATAAATTTGTTGACTGGTTAACTAAGTTGAGTTTAACACTTAATCTAACCAAATGCAAAGCTTTTACATTTTCTAGGAATCACTCTCCGATTACTTTCCCATATCGCCTTGGTAGCGAAGAAATCCCTCGCACATCTAACAATATTATGGACCTTGGATTTAAATTCAGCCACAATCTTGACCCCAGCGCTCACATCCAACATGTCTGCTGTAAAGCCTTCAAAATGCTTGGTGTACTTATTAGATTAACCAGAGTTTTTATATTAAAGTTATTGTATCTAAATGACATAAAAATCAAAGGAGTTGAACATTTATTCTAACTTAAAAAGAATTAAGAAAATATGCAAAAAAATCCTTCCCATACGCAGGTTGGAACCTTGTACCTCAAACGCGTAAGACACATGTTTTACCGACTGACAACCGTACCTCACTTCAGTCGTCCAAAAAAATGGCAATTTAAGCTAGTTCAAATTTCAAAGCTATTTTATTTTATTTTCACGACTTAAAAAAAGCAAAAAAGTTTAACTTTCTATACTATATCAATTTTATTTATATAATATTTATGAAAATCTGTATACTCCCCTAGTCTGGTATTTTAAAATAAAATAATATACAAAACCCAGAATTTTAACACAAAAATAGCAAAACGGTAGTCATTTTTACCATGAAGACAAGTTCAGAGGTCAATTTTTTTTTTCATAATAAAGTATATTATATAAGGTTGAATTTAAGGTATATATAAAAGTGTCAGTCTTTCCGGAACATTTTCAAAAGTTAAGTTGAAAAAGTTAACTTTTTGTGAAAAAGTTACAATTTTGAAACCATTCCTGTGAGCTGTTAAAGGGTCAAATGTTCACAAAAATATATAAAATGATATGTAAATACCTAAGGTATATTAAGTTATATTGATTAAAAAAGTTATGGTAGTTTTAAGTAAAAAAAGTTGAAAAAATGTCGAAAGTTAGTGATTTTTAAATTTGTAATTTTTTGGTGGATTTCCCCCAATTACGGAGAACGAGGGAATTTATTTCAATTTTTGAGGCTAATGTTTTCAACTAGTTACAATTCGTGATCTTTTGACATATTTTACATCAAAATCGGTCCAGCGAGAGCTGAGATTAAGCGTTCACAGACACAAAAAAAAACACACATCCTAGTAAAATTAAGACCTTCTCAGCTTCGCATCAAAGCTAAAAGCGGAGTAATAAAAAAAAAAAATTAGTTACAACCCAAAAAAAATCAATAAACTTGGTTTTGCACCAAAAAATATAAAAAAGAACACAAAAATTGTACGCCTTTTCACCTCGTTAGTTTAGCAATAAGAGAAGTTCATGTTCAGTCATGCAGCGGACGATAGTGATAAGATTGACATGGCCCGTAATTGCGCACTAGCCAATTATAGTGTATAAGCACGTTATGTGGTCGTAATGTCCACGACCGTGTTGTCCACCGTCATTGTTGACGATAGCACTAAGTTTGTCTTGTCCGGTAATTAGTAGATAGGACAGGTTAGGGGGCTAAAAACCGTGGGACACGTCGGCGACTATTTTGTTGTTGTAGAGTAAAGTATTTACTCCAGGAATTTTTAACAATTAATACTATTGCTACTAAACAAATTTATAATTAAAAAATTATGTTATGCAAAATAAATTAGTTAAATCAAAACTGAAAATTGTGTTAAATTCATGTAAAAAACCGTAAAATATTTATATCAATATGATGAATTAAAATGAAAATTGAAAACATTTTTTTTTTATTTCAAGCTCTACCAATAGTCAAGTATAGAACGTATGCAGTATAACATTAAAACTACTTGTCATTATATGATATTATGTTAAAATAATTTGATTATTAGTAATTTGACAATATAAAATTATTAAATAACATCTAAAATAAAATTTTAATACAAGTAATTCACAAAAACAAAACAAAAAATATGTGTTGTTGTTTTAACAACACATATTTTAATTTTACTAATAATATCGATATAAATTAAAATAGGAAATTCATCAAATCAATTTATTTTATTGATACCAAAATTAGAAATTTGTTAAATCTATAAGCGGAATTGAAGTTTAAATCTTAGTAATTTCTTATAAAATTTTATCATCCATAAAATTTGTAATTTACCCATCGTGAAAAAATACTATAAGACATCTATTCAAGAGATAAATAATATTAACATTACTACTCACATATTTGAGAACAATATTTCTTTATAAAATTAAGTGTTAAGATAATGTAACTATTATTTAAGTTTTACTTACTATTATTAGACCCAATCGAGCTGCTGCTATTGTAATTGAGACATATAACATACAATTAGGCATCCACACACCTATTCTATCTCCATTTCTTAATCCAATGACACTAAAACTTTGACATAGCTTATCGACCTAAATATAATAATTAACTTATTGATAATCATGATTTTCTAAAAAATAATCAATTTAATTAATTTTTATTCATATAAAAAAACCGTCCATAGGTTATATATTGTATTTAAACATTTCAATTTTATTAAAATTAATTAGTAAATAAATATACAGTATGAATTGAAGTTATGAAGAAATGGAAATTATTAGACCAGATATATCAGTTTTCTCAGCAGGAGAAGAAGCAAGGCTTCTCATGTCAATAGCAAACGAAAGCTTTGGTAAAACATTGGGACGTGGAACGTGAGAGCTATGTTAAATACTGGAAAGATAGAAAATATTAAAGCTGAATCGATAAGATTAGACGTAGATATAACACGTGAAACACGATAGAACAACGAGATAGAAAAAATTTACGCAGAATTCGAGAAACTTTGTAAATAAGCATAAGGAAGTGTTAACTTAATAATAATAGGAGATAGGAACGCCGTTGTAGGTGAAAGAGCTGATGAGACAGTAGAAAGAGCTATTGGTTGGGCACTAGCAACGAAAGAGAATACCAACTAGTAGATTTCTGCAAACAATATAACTTAGTCATATAAAACACATACCAAAACATTCATTGGAGAAAAAGGTATACGTTGAAATACAATACCAAATCGACTATATATTGGTAATAAAACACTTAAAAAATCAAGAGATGTAAAAACTATCCAGGCGCTGATGTGGACAGCTAGCAAAACTTCTTAATGAGGAAAGACAATGATACATATAAAAAATTGAAGAAACCTACACAAAAGGAAAGAAGATATGACGTATATATGTTATAAGATCATATTACATCGTTAGCCTATAAATCATTAAGACATTTAAAGAACCCAAACAAAATTATTCAATAAATGTAAGATAGAATGCAATCAAATAAGCTATACATAATGCAGCCTAACACGGCCGCCGGGGATTGACGGCCGGTTATAGAAAGTGTACCGGAAATCATGTGAAAAAAAGAGGCACGGTACGGGATTAGAACACGCGACCCAAGGCGTCGTATTGACAAACCTTACCACTAGGGTACCGTGTACTTATGATTCAGATCCCAATACACTTTCATTTAGGTTGATAACGTGATGTGCGGCTGAGGGAAACACGGTACCGTGTCAAGCCGATAAGACTTCTATAAGAAATACTTCAAATCCCCCCCCCCAAAAAAAACCCAGCACAGTGTGGTCGCGGCACAGTGGTGACGTGGTATAATTGGATCAAGTATAATGATATCTGACAGTGATTAAAATCACTATCAAAAAAGAACGCTTCGATGCAAATCTTTAGATAGTGTTTAATTTTAAAAAATTGGTGTATTATTCCAAAAGCTACATGATGTTCTAGTTCCATATTAATATCCTGATTAAGATAAAGTATGTCGAATGAAAAAAGGATAATTAAAAATAGTATTTCCCATAAAAAAATTATATTGATCAATACACTTTTCAAAAAGTTATAGCATTATAAAGTTAAAAATGTAAAAAATAAAAGTATATTACATTAGCTTTAATTTAAGATTTATATAAAAGTGTCTGATTGTCCGGAATACTTTCAAAAGTTAAGTTAAATAAGTAATATTTTCTATATGCATTTTTTATATTTGAAGCCTCCCCGTATATAGGGAAATGGTCTGATTAAAAAAAAAAGTATGTCGAATGAAAGATGTATATAAATACTACTTTTCATGAAAAAATTGTATTGATCCATTCATTTTTAAAAAAATTATAGCATTTTAAAGTAAAAAATGTAAAATATAAAATTGAGAAATTTCACACAAAAATATCATTCGGTAGCCATTTTCACCACAAAGATCCAACCAGGTTGTATTTAAATAATATTAAATAGAAATAAATGCTTATCGTTCTTAGTTGAGAGTCTGTATTTATTTGGTCATGGAACCACTAACTGTCTTTTTTGTGGGATATAAATTATTTAGGCCAGCGTTGCCCCGTTTAGGTACAGCTTAGCCAAATATTAGGACCCTAGCGAGAAAGCACGATGTAGTCTGTAGGAGGCGCCGTATTCTTTATTAATAGAATAGATCTGCCCATAATTGTAATTGGATATAGATACTTAACCAACAACAAGTGAGTAGTTATTTTTTACTGCTTTTTTATCTCAGTACCAATTTATACTTGACGTGTATAATTATTTAATTTTGAAAATTGTATTATTGAATACATTAATACTTTAATTCTCTATTTGGCGACAAAATCTCACGAATTATATCTATATCGTACTAAGTAATCTTAAGTAATTAACTTGAAAATCGCTGATGCCTTAATATAATTACTACCTTAAGCGCGCCGAAATAACCAAACAATTCGCATAAGCTAAACCACTTGGCAAATGTTAGGATTTAAGAGCACTAATATAAACGACTTAGACGAAGAACAAGACGTTCAACTAATTAGAGACAATTTAAATTATTTTAAATTAGCCTACGCGATTCAAAGGTGTAACAATATAAAACATCCAATAGGTGCTACTGTTATTCTTTCAACAGAACGATTTATAATATTCAAGCGCGTAAGTACTAGGAAATATACGGCACAAAGTTTTTCTGCCTTATCTCTTAACGATAAGTTAACAACTTTACAAGCCGACAATAGAGGATATACATATTTCTTCTACTCAAAAAACGATCTTATAAACATCCAAGATAGTTTAAATAGCGAACAACCAATTAATAGTTTAATAAATAGTCTTATTACTATACTTCGCGCAAAACTTAATCAACCGCCACTAACCGAAAAATACGATTCAGGCGGCGAGTCTGATATTGAAAAGCTTCTAAATACAAAATTCCATCATATTATCAAAACTATAAGTTTATAAAGTGGCCCCAAACCACCCGATATATTAGAAAAGACAATAGTCGAAGTAAAAACACTAAATTTAGAAAATAACAGTCCAGTTTCAATAATCTTACCACCTAAATTAGAAATTAATAATACAAAAAGTATTATGACCGGAACCGCAATTGCAGCACCAATTTTCCCAGGTCAACTTTCTGAAAACGTAACTAGATTTTTCAATAATTTCGAACGCGTAGCGACCGCTAATAGTTGGGATGACCCAAAAAAATTAATCATGTTACCTATCTCTTTACGAGATAGGTATATCTCTATATGGCGCAAACGGTATTCGAAGCGATTGAATCACAAAACAATAACTTAACTTGGCTCACAGCAAAAACAACAATGATAGGTTTCTACAAATGAGACGCGCAAGTTTGATTAAGAAAGCAGAATTTAGAGTCAAGGAGAAAAACAGATGCGGAGACAATTCAGGAATATTTATTGAATGTAAAGGCGGAATGTAAAAGAGTAGATAAAAATATGCTTGAGAGGGATGTAATAAGATACATTATACGAGGATTGTCAGAAGATTATTTTAGAAAATTAGAAAATATGAATTTTGGATACGTTGGAGATACTCGATGAAAACATTAAAAAGTTAGAAAGAAACACAGAGTTAAATGATAAAACTGATAAGGACAGTGAAATAGAGAAATTAAAAAAGCAAGTTGAGATTTTGACGTTGTCTATACAAAACAACCCTGAGGTAAATTACATTTGGCCGTCACGCAATAATCGAGAAACTAATCGTACTAATAATTACCGTAATGAAATAACAATAATAGGAATCAATAAAACAACAATAGAAATAACAAAAATTTTAATTACAATAAGGATAATTATAGACCCCTGGTAGGAATTTTGGGAATAGTAACAGATACCCCAATAATAATTATACATATAACAAGGGGATGACTGGCAAGATTATAATCAAGATAAATTTTATAACAATAGGATTAGGAATAAAAACACATGGTGCTATAATAATTTCAGGTAAGGAAATACGTACGTAGGGCGCAGCGGAAAAAGCGTCAATGTTCAAAACGCGCAATATGACACATTCGGATCGAGCTCATTTTCAAATTTATTACTTTACGATCCTATAAAAAACATATATTATTCACCAAAATCAAACGGTGTGATTTCTAAACAAATAACTTACGAAACGCGACCCCTGATAGAAGAGCTGTGCAAAATCGCAAAAAATGCATGAGTCAAAACATGGAGGCTAGGCTTAGTTTTGACGCTTTGACATCGCCTAGTCAACCATCATCCGTAGATACTCCTATCCCCTCGAACCGCGTCACACATAATTATAAAATTACTAGTTGCGCTATTAACAATACTAATCCCATCCATCACGATATACGAAGAGACGAATCGATTATTTTAGGTATTTTTAACGGTCAAAATTTTAATTTCATTATTAATACTGGCGCTTCAACCAGTATAATTAACAGCACCCTTTTACCGCCGAATTACACTATTTATCCGACAAATAATGCGACGCTGACCACAGCGAATGGTACAGCAAATGGAGGTCTATTTTAACGGTCACCCATTCTTAATTGATTGCGCGGAAGCTAATAATTTAAACGGGGACAGTCTGTTGTGTTATGACTTTTTGAATAAATATATGGCAAAGTTATGTATGCGTAAATTAACACTGATCTTATACAAAAATAACGAAAAATTAATGCTAAAGCTGAACAATAGTAATAATAAACTCATCGCGTAATTGGTAGACGGTAAAATAAAAAATGAATTATCGATTGATTATATGACTTCTCGAACCCAAATATTGAAACACGTGCCCCAAGACGGATTCTGTGGTGTACATACTTTAGTTGAAATTTTGAAAGATAAAAATATTGACATAGACTATCATGGTATAAAACAACTTAAATATTATGAAACGACCAGTCTGGATGGAATCAGAAGACTTGGCCGCTGTCGCTGCACATTTCAATATTTTCACATTTCAATATATTTATTTATAATTTCTCAAGGTGACGGGTCTTCTGTCAATAATACAGCCGTTATAGTATATGTAAAGTCTAATCACGATAATGTGTTCGTTCTTTTTTCACGAAAACATTGGACACCCCTGATATACGT